TAACACTAACAATGGCTCACTATTCCTTCCACTGACACCAGTGATGGTACACTCTTCCTTCCACAGGCACCACCAGTAGGGCACTATTCCTTTCACTAACACCGTTTGGGCACTATTCCTTCCACTGACACCAATGATGGGGCACTATTCTTTCCACTGATGCCAACAATGGGGCACTATTCCTCTTACTGACAACGGAGCACTGTTATTTCCACTGTCACTATCTATGGGGAACTATTCTTCTTCCTATTGACCATAGGCGTTATGTAATATTTTACCCTCATTTACCACCAAGCCTGAGGCATTTTCTATGGTCCCACTGGCCATAGTCCAGCAATACTAAAGTCTGAAAGATAATAAACTGGCCCTTTGTTTAGAAAATTTGGAGATCCCTGGTCTAGGGGAACAAAAAAAGGATTACTGACCCAGTCCTCCACTCTCCTGCCGGTAGCTAGACCGGTCCACTCAGCTTCTCCAGTGGTTTAGGATCCTGATGTAATCAAGACAAAGGTAGGATTTATAGCCCTGTATTGGACACCGAGGGACAGTCTACCTCCAGAGCGCAGGGGAGTGCCATCTGCCTGGCAAGTGTAGGATCAGGTAAGTAAAACTTCAGGCGCAGACCCACTGCTAGGGATAATTTTACATTTTTTTTCCAGAGTTGGACTTTAGCAATTAGCCACTTAGGCAGCCTGCCTTCTGGAAGATGAATCAAGGGATCAGTCTGACATCTAGGGTCGAGGAAGTGGCTCTCCATTGGTTGGTTAACCTGTTGCATTCTCCCACAATGGTTAATAATGGCTCTAGGCACTGCCATATTAAAGCTGAACTTCTGGTAAAAAAAAAACTCTTAAAGTGCCTCCCCCCCCCCACACACTGCATCAGTTAATAAGCCATAATACTTACCTTTTTACTTGCTTCAGTGCTCTCCTCTTCTCTCTGATGCTTCAGGTTGGGGGCTAGCTTTTGCCATCATCACATACAATGCAAGGCTATTGGCCCCACATTGTATGTAATGACGTCAGTTTGTAACCACCAGCCAGGGCACTGCAAGGAACAGTCTTCAGGAGATCAGTCACACCGTGAGGAGGAAGCCTCACCAAAGCATGGAATAAGTTAAGTAGAAGTAGTTGTCATCGATCCACCTTTGTTGCCCTTGCTGTTTGTGATCCAGCTGTATCTCCACAGGCCATCATAACCTGCAGATTAAGTCTAACGAGACTTAATTTCCCAATGATTGGACTTCGTGTAGCTATCTAACAGCAAAGGTTCAGTGTTTTATATTGATAAACCTCGTAGTCATCGCACAATTCAACAAAGAGTCCACTCAATAGAGCCGCACAGTTGAGGCTGAAAGTTGACATTTCCAAATGTCAGGAGGTAACTCGCACAGCTAACATTTCTCTGTGCGTCTTATGAAACTTTCACTTTGATGTATTGAATTCTGCGAGGAAGACCAGTTGACTTCTGCCATCTGTTGTTATTTGTTTCTGCTTTAAAGAGCATGTAAAGCCTCTGTTTGTACTTAATATAGAAAGATACTGAGCTAAATGATGTGATCGATGCCATCTGTCCACCATGTTATTCTGGCCGAGCCATGCTGATTACATTGGTGTGAGTAGTGGTGTATGGCATTGATTGCTTCACAGCAAATTCTCGCATCTACCCCATAGCAAGGTCTGAAGAGAAACATTATCCTGTGTTAAGGTTTTACTCTGGAGTTTAGCTCAGTCTGACCCGTCCTGATCCTAAAAGTGAATAGGATAAAAATGGTGCTGCTTGTGGTGACTGCAAGTACCTGTGTTTGTCTATAAATTACTATTATTATAATACAGGATTTATGGCGCCAACAGTTTGCTCAGCGCTTTACAATATAACGGGAGACAATACAGCAACAATACAGTTCAATACAAGAGGTATGGGAGGGCCCTGATCCTGGGAGCTTACATTCTAAGAGGGAGGGGCTAGTGGTACAAAAGGTAATAACTGTGGGGGATGGACTGGTAGGAGGAGTAGAAGATTTCATTATTAGCTGAGGGCAGGATAGGCTTCCCTGAAGAGATAGGTTTCAGAGATCGCTCAAAAGTGAGCTGAGTAGGCGATAGTCGGATAGATTGGGGTAGAGAGTTCCAGAGGATGGGGGAAGCTCTGGAGACAAGCATGGGAGGAGGAGACAAGGGAGCTTAGAGAGCAGGAGGTCGTGCGAGGAGTGGAGAGTACGGTTCGGGTGATATTTGAAGACAATTTGTTGATGTAATTTGGGGCAGAGTTATAAATGGCTTAATATGTTATTTTTATGTTTTGAATTTTATCCGTTGGGCAATGGGAAGCCAGTGGAGGGATTGGCAGAGAGGGATGGCAGATACAGAACGGTTAGTAAGGATTGGATGAGTCTGGCAGCAGCATTCATGATAGACTGCAGAGAGGGGATAGCCTGCGATGAGGTCGGCCAATGAGGAGGGAGTTACAATAGTCAAGGCGAGAGATAACCAGGGTGTGAGGCCAATGAGTTGCTTAGTAGTTTCCGAGGTTAGGACACTGGGCGTATCTTGGAGATGGTGCGAAGGTGTAAATTCCACAAGATTTGGACAGTGATTGGATTTGGGGCTGCCAAAAGGACAGATGGGAGTCTAGGATTACACCCAGTACCCTGGCATGAGTTTCCGGGAGGAAAGGGGACTGATGGTTGTATTATTGATCTTGTAGGTTTGTAATGCAAGATTTGGGACTGGAGACTGAAGGGGTGAGGTGAGGAGTAGAAAGATAGATTTGTGTGTCATCATGATAGAGATTGTACTTAAAGCCATGGGAGTTTTACCAAGTGACCAAGGGAGGAGGTGTAGATGTGATGGAGAAGAGAAGGGGTCCAAGGACAGAACCTTGAGGGTTTATCAAGTGACCAAGGGAGGAGGTGAAGATGGAGAAGAGAGTCGAGAGGAGGAGACAGAGTTATAGGTAACGCTGAAGGAGTGCTGCAATAGGTAGGGAGGAGAAAACAGGAGAGAGCAAAGTCTCCTTGTGGGGCCACTTGGATTCCAGTAGGACAGTGGTGGTCAACTTTCGTGATATGGGAGCCGCAAAGTGTGGCCCTCCATATCCCCCCAAGGGCCACAAATAAAATTCTGTGAATATTCATTATCAGAGACAGTAGAGAACCAACAGGATGTAGTCAAAGATTAAGGGCATAATACATGAGATGGCCAGAGACTGCAGACATGATACAAGAGATGGTCATAGACTGCTGACATGCCGCAGGAGACTGTCATAAACTGTGAACATGCTATAGGCGCTGTTGCAGACTCTGCACCTCTACTCTTCGCTTTCCTCTACTCCTCTTCACTCTCCTCTACGCTACACTTTTTTTTCCACCTCTTCTATACTCCTCTACATTCTGTACTTCTCTACTCTTTCCTCTACTAGAGGAAAGAGTAGAGGATGCTTCAGGTGTTCAAGGATTTTAATTGACAAGTCAAAAAATGCTCTCCACTCCTCTCTTCTGTACTCCTCTATACTCTCCTGAATTGCTCTCCTCCACCTCTTCTACGCTCTCCTCCACCTCTTCTACGCTCTCCTCCACCTCTTCTATGCTCTCCTCCACCCTCTTCTACGCTCTCCTCCACCTCTTCTACGCTCTCCTTCACCTTCTCTACGCTCAGCTCCATCTCCTCTCAACGCTCCTTTTCTCCATCTCCTCTACGCTCAGCTTCACCTCCTCTACACTCTCCTCTCTTCTACTCCTCTATGCTCTCTCTACTTCATGCTGTATTCTAATGCTCTTTGCTCTCCTCTACTGCTCCATGCTCTCCTCTACATTCCTCTTTTATTCCTCCAAGCCTCTATTTTCTCTTTTATTCCTCTACTCTCTTGTCTATTCCTCTACTTTCTCCTCTACCACTCTACTCCCTCCTCTACTTCTCTATGCTCTCCTTTGCTCTCTCTGCTACTCTCTCTCCTCTATTCTCTTTTCTATTTTGGCAGTAGAATGTTTCTCAGCATCCTCATGTCCAGTGCAGGTCTTCAAGCCCTTCATTGTATTTGTTGGCCTAAGAGGGCCTGCTACTAGCAAAATGTAGGGGAGAAAAGACTGCAGGGACCCCCGGTATAACACAACAGAGGAAGGCTGCTGGAAAATGAATTTGGTTAAGTAAAAGTGCTTGTCTGGCACCCTAAACACTTGCTTAACCCCTGCAGTGCAGAAACAACCCTACTGCATGGAAGGATTTTCATTTTTCCCCAGAGTTCAGCTTTATCTTGATACACACTAAAAATCTAGTTCTGTGCAATCAGTCCTGGCATCGCAGAGATGCAGGCACGTTGGGCCCTTGTTACAAGCGTTCTGTTATGGGTTTCCAGTATTGAACATTGGGACTGTAGGAACTGACATGTCCACATATAATAGAAAAATGGAAGCCTTAGGCTACTAGCATTATTGAAGTGTCTCTGGGGATTGTAGAAGATAGCTGATCACTGTAGTCCATGTTTCTCCTCTGATTCTCCCGTCATCCTATCGGTTCTTGTTCACTGCTCTGTGATAGGGGTTGCGTTGTACGAGGAAGGTGCAGTGTTATTAAAAATGTCTGGGATCTCGCTTGTGCTTCCATGCAAGGAGAACATGGAATGTCTTGTCACACAGACCGTGCCTGAGCTTGCACAATGCTGCCATACCAGCAGTCCAAATGATCACGGGTTAATGAAATATGACTTCTAGATATGTTACATGAAATTCATTGACAAGGCTTTACTATAGAAACAGAAACATTTTATATATCCTGGTAAACGTATATCTCTGCTTTAATGCAGTCATGAAGAATGGTTTTTAGTCAATATTTTTACATTTTGAAAGTGTACTCATTAAAAAAAAAAAAAAAAATATATATATATATATATATATATAATTTTTTTTTTTTTACTAATTTGTAGAAAAAATAAATTTTACATGTATACAATACAGTCTATCATGAATGCTGTTGCCAGACTCATCCACCTTACTAACCATTCTGTATCTGCCAATGCCAATCCTCTCTGCCAGTGTCCTCCACCCCTTTCCAATCCCTCCACTGGCTTCCATTGTGCCTCACCCCTCTCTGCCAATCCCTCCTCAGCCTCCACTCAGTGTCCTCCACCCCTCTCTGCCAATCCCTCCACCCTCCACTGGCATCCCTTCCATCCATCCAGTGTCCTCCACTCCCCACCCCTCTCTGCCAATCCCTCCCTCCACTAGCCTCCACCCCTCTCTGCCAATCCCTCAGTGTCCCTCCACGGATAAAATTCAAAACATTTTACATGTATACAATACTCTCTGCCAATCCACCCTAACCACTAGCCTCCACTTCCACTCAGTGTGTCCTCCACTCAGTGTCCTCCACACCTCTCTGCCAGTGTCCTCCACCCCACTCTGCCCATCCCTTTCATCCCAATTGCACCTCTCTGCCAATTCCTCCACTAGCCTCCACTCAGTGTCCTCCACCCCTCTCTGCCAATCCCTCCACTGGCCTATCCATCATTCATCTGTGTCCTCCATCCCTCTCTGCCAATCCATCCACTGGCCTCCACTCAGTGTCCTCCACCCCTCTCTGCCAATCCCTCCACTGCCTCCCACTCAGTGTCCTCCATCCCCCTCTCTGCAATCAATCCCTCCACACTGCCTCACTCAGTGTCCACTCACCCCTCTCTGCCAATCCCTCCTACTGGCTTCCATTGCCCAACGGATAAAATTCAAAACATTAACAATAACATATAAAGCCATTTATAACTCTGCCCCAAATTACATCACCGATTTTGTCTCTGAATATCAACCAAACCGTACTCTCCGCTCCTCCCACGACCTCCTACTCTCTAGCTCCCTTGTCTCCTCCCATGCTCATCTCCAGGACTTCTCCAGAGCTTCCCCCATCCTCTGGAACTCTCTACCTCAATTTATCAGACTATTGCCTACTCTGCTCACTTTTAGGCCATCTCTGAAAATCTATCTCTTCAGCCCTCAGCTAATACTGGAATCTTCTACTCTTCCAACCAGTCCATCCCCCACAGTTACCACCTTTTGTACCACTAGCCCCTCCCTCCTAGATTGTAAGCTCCCAGGATCAGGGCCCTCCTATCCCTCTTGCATTGAACTGTATTTTTTGTTGTATTGTCTCCCGTTATATTGTAAAGTGCTGAGCAAACTGTTGGCGCCATAAATCCTGTATAATAATAATATATAAATCCTGTATAATAATAATATATAAATCCTGTATAATAATAATAATAATAATAATGCAGGATGCATCCGAGACAACCTGTATGCACCAGCAAACACAAATGCTCCTGTGCTTAGGGATGGAGAGGATGCAGGCTACAACCACATGAATGTCCTGGAACATGCACACCTTGCTGCCCTCAATAGACTGGGGGAATCCAAATACACTGAATGAGGAAAGAACAAACAGAGGGCGCACAGGCCTAGCGCATTATCATAACAAATGTTTAATAAGAAATAAAGTAGGTGTTGTACTCACAAATGGCAATAAAGTCAAGGCACATCATAAAAGAACAGCTGGGTCAACACCGCGCTGAGTAACAGTCCGCAATAGGGAGTGTAGACATCCAATAGATTGACGCGTTTCAAGGACTTGCCTCTTCCTCAGAGCCACAGTGGCCTGTGCATCCCCTAACCCAAACCGTTCCATCTGGCTAAAAACGAGTGGACGTGTCCTTCCTCTTGAGTCCTTCAACAGCTGTGTGTGTAGTCTGATCTTTTCTTTTTAGATATTGTCTTTTTTTTTTTTTTAATAGCTTATTTTTTCAGAGCATCTTACCAACTTATTTATGTTTTTATGCTACATATATCCACCCACTAAAGCAGTAAAAACCCAACAGAGGTTCTAACAGTTCCTCAGTTTAACTTCAATTCACCCTCTGGAGAGCTCCAGATAAGCTTTGGATAAAGCGTTACGAAACCCACATCCGTAAAATCCGTCTGTAGATGCAGTAAAACATGTTTGTTATACTCACTGTGGAACCTACGGGCTTATTCCTCTGCATTATATATAAAAGACTGTTTGATCCTGTCTTTTCTGATCTTCCCCTTCTTCTACTGTCCCTAATAAATCTGATTGTAAAGAGCTCTAGAAGTCACTCTGCACATGCTCAGTTTAGTGAGTATTGCTAGAGAGGTTTTTTGTTTTTTTTGGGAGGGTGCATGTGATCAGCACAGGGCCAATCAGCACTGTCCAGACAGAGGATCAGGGGTTATGCAGCCTCATAGGACAATCAAAGGAGAATGAAAACTCCTCCTACAAGCTTTAATCAGCTGGATTCTGATAGAAGTCACAAGACTGCTATATACTGCTGATGAGAGAAAATATTTAGTAGTTTATATTTGCTAAAATAATTGCATTTCCATGTTCTGTTTACTGTGGGAAACCAGATATAGTGAATGCGGGGTCCGAGGAGACGGATATAGTGAATGTAGGGTCCGGGGAGAGCGGATATAATGTATGCAGGGTGCGGGAGAGAGCGGATATAGTGAATGCGGGGCCCGGGGAGAGCGGATATAGTGAATGTGAGGTCCGGGGGGAGCGGACATGGTGAATGCGGGGTCCGGGGAGATCGGATGTAGTGAATGCGGGGTCCCGGGGAGAGCGGACATAGTGAATGTGGAGTCCGGGAGAGAGCGGATATAGTGAATGTGGGGTCCAGGGAGAGCAGATATAGTGAATGCGGGGCCCGGGGGGAGCGGATGTAGTGAATGCCATGTGCGGGAGAGAGGGTGAATGCAGGGTCCGGGGAGAGCGGATATAGTGAATGCAGGGTCCGGGGAGAGCGGATATAGTGAATGCGGGGTCCGGGGAGAGCGGATATAGTGAATCAGGGTCCAGGGAGAGCGGATGTAGTGAATGCGCGGGGAGAGCGGATATAGTGAATGTGGGGAGAGCGGATATAGTGAATGCGGGGTCCGGAGAGAGCGGATATAGTGAATGAGGGGAGAGCGGATATAGTGAATGTGGGGAGAGCGGATATAGTGAATGCGGGGTCCGGGGAGAGCGGATATAGTGAATACAGGGTCTGGGGAGAGCGGATATAGTGAATGCGGGGTCCGGGGAGAGCGGATATAGTGAATGTGGGGAGAGCGGATATAGTGAATGCGGGGTCCGGGGAGAACGGATATACTGAATGTGGGGTCCGGGCAGAATGGATATAGTGAATGCAGGGTCCGGGTAGAACGGATATAGTGAATGCGGGGTCCGGGGAGAGCGGATATAGGGAATGCGGGGTCCGGGGAGAGCGGATATAGTGAATGCAGGGTGCGAGGAGAGCGGATATAGTGAATGCGGGGTCCGGGGAGAGCAGATATAGTGAATGCGGGTCCGGGGAGAGCGGATATAGTGAATGCGGGGTCCTGGGGAGAGCGGATATAGTGAATGCGGGGTCCGGGAGAACGGATATAGGGAATGCGGGGTCCGGGGAGAGCGGATATAGGGAATGCGGGGTCCGGGGAGAGCGGATATAGTGAATGCAGGGTCCGGGGAGAGCGGATATAGTGAATGCAGGGTCCGGGGAGAGCGGATATAGTGAATGCAGGGTCCGGGGAGAGCGGATATAGTGAATGCAGGGTCCGGGGAGAGCGGATATAGTGAATGCCGGGTGCGGGGGAGAGTGGATATAGTGAATGCCGGGTGCGTGGTTTAGTAACACTTCAAGGTTTTTCTGCTGTTCTCTACATAATCTGTCATTGTTACATGTTTTGTATGTGGGGATATTTATGATCAGATTTTTATATTTATGGTTTCAATGGCATATCATTTTATTTTCCTGCCGTAGATCTCTTCCTCACAACGCTGGCAAGCAACAAAGACATTCAGTTTGAGACTTGGGAAAACCAGGTAAGAAACAGATTGAAATGGATTGCTTAAAATGAAATCGGTATTAAACCCCAAACCAAAAATGTAATATATAGCAGCTTAACAATCATTAGATATGGTGGCTGCATTAATTTTTTTTTTCCAGGATCCTTTTTCTCCAATCCAGCCAGTAACACACCTTCTGTATTAGAGCGGCCCCACTCTGGACAAAGGAGCACAGGGGGCATCTTTGAACAATAGCATTGTCAGTCTTGGCGGAAGGGAGTGTTAGATGTACTAACAGACATAGATACACTAACAAACTGAAGCCAAACTCCAGATAACACTTTATAAGCAGTTACAGCAGACAGTTAAATATAAGCTAATCATTGTAAGCACCCTTGTCAGTGGTAAATGGTTTGTCTCATCCCTGTAGCTGCAAGAGAACTTTTCTGTTGAAAAACAGAAACAACCTCAGACCTTTCCTCTGGCCTCCAAAGCATCAGATCAAGCTGAGGTCGGTTTGATCAGATGCTTTCACAAGCCGATAACGGCTTGTTTACATGAAAGTGATGAAATCCTCATCGTTTCCGGTTTTAGACATCACAAGGTAGGAGGAACAACATCCATTCCTCTTACTGTGTCCTCAGGAACCGGATGCCTCCTGTTGCATCCTTACTGGGCTCCCTGATGGGACTGGAGAGCCCAGTGAAGGCAGCTGCGGAGGCAGTGGGGGACCTTCTTCTACAACCTGTAAAAGTCATCTAGCGGCTTTATGGCCACTCAGATTACTTTTACATAAAAGATTTGCTGGCCCTACCAGGATTATAACTGCTGTCATGATCCTCCTGGTATATCCATCAATCCATATATCATAGTTCATAATCCCCCAAGGTACCAGTGCATTAAAAATAAAGTGCATGAATGTCCAGATCTTGATTAAATTAAAAACCAAAAGTACATAACAGATACATGTCATAAAGTCCATCCATTATTGTGCCACCGATGCTGTGATGGAATACTGGACCGCACCTCAGAATGAGAAACCACCACCTTACCAAAAAATTGCCCCCACACTAAAGGAGGTTAAACCAGTTGGGTTCTATACTCTTCCCAAACACAACACCTCCGAATCTGATGGATCTCCTCTTGATGATACTACAGATGACCTCCGCTTCTCACAGTCTCATCCATAAGAACAGCATCAGTGTCATTGATAAAAAAAAATAAAAAAACAAAACCATGCCCAATATCTTCCACAAAACAACTGTAATATTGTCAGGGCTCCCGGGTATGACCAGAGGTGTGTGACTGACGCAGGGAAACGCAGACTTCAGATATGTTATAAACAATATAATTTATTAACACTAACAATACAAACATAAACGCAGTGCAATACTAAAAACATAACACAGTGCAAACAAACCAAACCAACCACCCACAGATGACAGTACATACAATGCAAGCGTCGTCAGGCAGGCCGGGTCAATATCAATCGGGCAGGTAGGTACAGGGGGAGCAAGCGGAGAATGGTCGGGGTCACAAGCCAGGTTCAGCA